GGGAAGAGGGGTTGGAGGGGGGAAAAGGGAAAAGAAAAGACAAGGCCAGGAACCACCACAGTACTAACAGTACGGACTTCCTTGCAGCCTACCAGGCAGTTCCAGTACGTAGATAGTAGTACCATAGTAGTAACACTAGTAGTGGTATGGAGTTCTAATGAATACTAGTAAGGCTCCTCCACAGGTAAACTACTCCATAACGACTGGACCACTAATACTGAAGTAGTCCTCGTATTAATCATCATTTCTTCCTCTGCATGGTTCGGGTATCTTGTTGACTATCATTCAAAGAAGAAACTAGTGCAGGCAACAATTGAAGAAGAAACTAGAAGACGATAAAGATCGTTGCTTATTCTCTTTTAACGAAGATTATTACGAGCAAGTAATCCACTTCGGTTGCTTAAGTAGAGGAAGGAGATTAATCTTACTGATGCCGGAAGATTCTTGGAAATTAAAATAGTAACTCCTAATTATCTATCAACATAAGTCAACTAACTAGTTAATTAGTTATCTATCTGATGTGAGGTACTGTAAGCAGGCACTAGCCCAAATATTTACTTAGTTAATTAACTTAAGTAACTGTTACGGAGGAGTTAACTACATATGGATAAGATAAGTTACATACTGTACATGTATAATTACAATACCTGACCATCATCCTGAGAGTGAGAAGCAGAAGATTAGGGGCAGAAAGTAAGCAACGATTGATTCAATATTCGAGGTAAAAGGAGGAATCAGAACTGGGATGTTAAGTACTAGTACTTCCAAGGGAACCATACTTTACAGCCTGATGGATGGCCAGCTATTTTTATCGCGACAATCGCACTACCACTCTGTCTTGGAGTAAGCGCCCAGGGCGTCCGTTAGACTAGTGATGGAAGCCCCTTCCAGAAGGAATCTTACCATACCTGACAGGTACTCCCGCAATGACTTCCCCTTCCTCTTTCCTCTCTTTAGGCCACTCATCTTCAATCCATAATAATGACTCGTGTGGAAAACAATTGCTGAGCAAAGCGAGAGCGCAAAATACAGCATCTACAGGCACATCGTACATGCAGTGTCATTGAGAAACAAGAGGTCGAACCTTTTCTTCGAGTTTACTTAGGTAAGTAATCTCTTGGCATCTGTTGAATCCTCTGTGGTGGACCCAAGCCTGGAATTTTCACCTTTGTTGGTAATGTGTAACCACCATCAGAGAGTGACTAGTAGGGGTACCCCCTCCATATAGTGCACTATACATAGGCATATCAGCCTATAGTCTACACCTAGCGACGTGAGATGCTATCCTAACACTTGATCCTCTTCTTTCTGAAACACTACCTGGCAAGTGATTAAAATTGTCTTCCTTGTCTACACAGTAGTCGAACGCAGTCTGAAAGTATACCGTCACGGGGCATTAAGTACTGACAGTGGTAAAAGCATTGGTGCTTGGCGTTCCACCACCTGAGCATATAGACTTGGTTTTGTCTCATCAACTTCGGGCTGCCGTACAATTTGGCCAGTGCCCAGCTTCGGGCTGCAACACCACCAATGGAACTCCAGAGTAACGATTTTCATCATCCTTATTCGCCTTATGACATCCAACTGCAGTTGATGCGGGCGCTATACTCATGTCTCGAACAAGGAAAAGTTGCTGTTTTCGAGTCACCTACTGGTAAGCCGTGTAAGCTTCGTGCTAGATTCATTTGCAGCTAATATAGCCAATCCCAGGAACTGTAAGTAAGATTCTTATTTCATTTTACTTGTTCGATTCCAGGTGAACGTATACAGTAGATAGTTCTTGGTCATCACCATATACTATCTAGTAGCCCATGAACCCCTGGCTGCGGTAGCACAAGCTTGAGAATTCACCGAAATGTGCCGTGGGTTCATGGAATATGGCTAAACTACTTCCCAGGGAAAATCCTTAAGTTTAATATGCGGTTCCTTGACGTGGCTGCGAGACCACAAGCGTTCCGCCTTCCAGACAGCGGTTGACAATGCCACATGTAAGACTCCTCGTTACTGGATGGCTGAAATTCTCCACTAATCGTACTCTAGGTGATGATGACGAACCTGAATGGATGCTGGATTTTGCCAGGCGTGAGTCAAGTCGGAAGATGACCGAGAAAAGGAAGGAGCTTGAAGAGAGACTAGAAAGGACGAGAAAGGAAGAAGAACAGCAGAGGATCGCGCTAGACAACCCCGAAGGATCCCGGAAAAAGCAGGTATGAGGTTGAGCAATACTTCTGTCTCGATATATCGGCTGACTCCAAATTTGTCCGTGCAGAAATACAGTACACCATCAACTGAAACTGGTGGGCTAAGCGAAGAACACTTTGCGCTGGATGACTACGACAGCGAGAATGAAGAGCATAGCAAACAGCGGAGTGGGCTGGCCCATACTAACGAACTATCTTCTAGTACACTAGAATTGTTGGAACGCTTCAAAGGTCAGTTCTCGACCGCCAAGCCAGGAAGTGACGATGAAGACAATGACGAAGTCAAGATATTTTATTGCTCCCGAACACACTCCCAGTTAAGCCAATTTGCCGGTGAACTGAGACGCGTTAAAATGCCATGGAGTGTACCGAAGGACTTGTTGAGTACTGACTTGACAGGAGAAGAAGAACTCGAGGAGCGTGTGAAGCATGTCACTCTTGGTTCTCGGAAGAACCTCTGCATTAATCCCCGTGTCAGTTCATTGGAAAATGCAACAGCGATTAATGAGCGTTGTTTAGATCTACAACAGCCCAATGTGTATCCTCAGCATAAATGTCCATTTCTGCCATCCAAAGAAGATGAAAGACAGGTTCTTCAATTCCGGGACCATGCATTATCAACAGTGAAGGACATTGAGGACCTGGGAAAGCTTGGCAAGAAGATTGGAATATGCCCTTATTATGCATCCCGTTCTGTTATTAAGTATAGTGAGGTTTGTTGCCTTCGAGTCCGACCTTCAACCGACCTAGTAGCTGATGAGTGGCAGATTGTAACACTACCATATCCCTTGCTGTTGCAACGCTCAGCGAGAGAGGCTCTTAATCTATCTGTCAAGGGGCATGTCATAATAATCGACGAAGCCCATAATTTGATGGACGCAATATCCAACATACACTCGGTAGTGGTGACGCTTTCACAATTGCAGACCTCTCTTTCTCAATTGACTATTTATGCCCGCAAATTCAAAACTCGCTTGAAGGGGAAAAACAGGAGCTATGTTGCTCAGGTTATTCGGCTCCTCAGTTCAATCGCTGCTCATCTCCGGTCACTCCTAGAGAGTGGAAAGGCACCGGAGGGCCCAGTTTTGGCATCTGAGCTCATGTCCGGAAAGGGGGTTGATCAGATCAATCCTTATAAATTGAGTCGATATTTACAAGAAAGCAAATTAGCAAGGAAAGTTGATGGATATGTCGAGTTCACTAAAGATCCATCAAACAAGCAGGGGACAAGGGATCCTACGGTGCCCGTACTGTTTCACATACAGGGGTTTCTTCTATCTTTGATGAACCCCTCTGCCGAAGGGCGATTGTTCTACTTGAAGGAACAGGGAGATATCAAATTGAAGTACATGCTTTTAGACCCTACCAATCAATTTCGGGAGCTTGTGGAGGATGCAAGAGCCGTCATATTGGCTGGCGGGACCATGTCACCCGTAAGTTTCGACGGCCATCAATGGTAGTGTATTGTTATCTCACGATTTGGGCAGATGACAGACTACATGAACCATCTCTTCTCGTATGTCCCAGCCAGTCGCTTAGACACGTTCAGTTACGGCCATGTCATACCACCAGAGAATTTGATCGCTCACACACTGGTACGGGGTGTTCAAGGCTCAGAATTTGACTTTACCTATGATGTCCGTGACTCTGAGAAAATGGTGAGAGCTTTCCTCTTTCAACGCCTAGCATCGTTCCCTATCTGAAAAGAAGCTGACCATTGTTACGTCGGCATTCAGATCATGGATCTTGGTAGGACGATAGCTACGCTCTGCCATGTCATCCCCGATGGAGTAGTGGCATTCTTTCCCAGCTACGATTATCTTGGCCGAGTCCTGAGCATCTGGAAGAAGCCAATGCTAAGCGAACAAGGCCAGACTGTGTATGGCTTGATTGGGCAGAAGAAGCCCATACTGTCTGAGTCCCGAGACATGACAGTCACTACCGAGGAACTGCTACAGACTTACGCCAAAACTGTTGATTCTGGCAGAGGTGCGCTTCTCTTGTCCGTTGTGGGTGGCAAGCTGTCGGAGGGCATCAATTTCTCTGACAAACTCGGACGGGCTGTGTTGATTGTGGGACTGCCCTTTCCGAATATACGGAGTGCAGTTTGGCAAGCCAAGATACAGTATATTGAGCAGAAAGCACACCAGCAAGCTACAGGCCCTGAGGCAAGCCGGCAATCAGCAGCCAAAGCAGCAGGGAGGGACTTCTATGAGAACTCGTGCATGCGAGCAGTGAACCAGTGTATTGGGCGAGCCATCAGGCATCGTAACGACTATGCGGCGATTGTTCTGATTGACAGACGTTATGACAAACCCGGTATCCAAGCGAAGCTACCGGCTTGGATCAAACAGAGTATGGTAGGCAGTTCGGTCCAACGACCTGCTGGTGCTACGATTCAGAGTTTGGCGAAGTTTTTTGCCAGCAAATCAACTTGAGTCGATCTCGAGTAGAATAATAGACCATTTCAGAACAATTACCGCTAATACGATTCTACACATGTTCAGGACGTTATAGACAATATTTCCCGTCCGTTAGTGAAATTATTTGGGAGGAACCGATCTAGTAGATCTATAGTACTCCGTAGATCTATCTAGCAAGGGAATGTTCTCTGGATGATTATGTAATCTAGTGGCGCAGGCGCTGGGACACGTGATGGTACTGCGCCCACCCGCCAAAGACAAGCCGCAGGGTTGGCCCTAAGTTAGGGCAAGCGAATTAGCGCACACTCTAGCCGCCCCAGAGCCTTGATTTCAACATCTGAGCCAGCAGTATACACGACCGCATCCCCCCATCGCCAACCCTCAGACCGGTCTTGTCGAGCTCAGCACCGTCGACAAGATGCCTACCCGTTTCTCGAAGACAAGGAAAGCGTGAGTCGCTTCAACTTCTCCCTTTCGCCTCCGGTGGTCGACCGTTTCGTTTGTCGTGGTCAATTTGCGACAGGCTTGAGGCCTCATCCGACCACCGTCCGCCCCGTCTACCAGAACAACAAGAAAAGAAAACTGACTTTTGTGTCTTCTTCCTTAGCCGCGGTCATGTTTCGGCCGGTTACGGTCGAATTGGCAAGCACCGTAAGCACCCCGGTGGTCGTGGTATGGCCGGTGGTCAGCACCACCACCGCACCAACCTCGACAAGTACCACCCCGGTTACTTCGGTAAGGTCGGTATGAGGTACTTCCACAAGACCCAGCAGCAGTTCTGGAAGCCCACTATCAACCTTGACAAGGTACGTTCAAACTCGACAATACGATCCCAATCGAGATGTGGCGAAGAGAATCGGGAAGATGAGAAGGCGCAAGGGGTGTACATTTGTTATCAGATACCATGGGAGAAGAACGGGAGATGGAATGGAACAGGGGCGCAAGAACATACGAGATTGGATCACGTTTTCAAGGATTTGGATGGCTGATGGATTGTCTTCCCAATATAGCTGTGGTCTCTCGTCCCCGCCGAGAAGCGTGATGCCTACCTGAGCGGCCAGAAGACCGACACCGCCCCCGTCATCGACCTCCTTCCCCTCGGCTACTCCAAGGTTCTCGGCAAGGGCCGTCTCCCCGAGGTCCCCATCGTCGTCCGCGCTCGCTACTTCAGCCGGGATGCTGAGGAGAAGATCAAGGCTGCCGGTGGTGTTGTTGAGCTCGTTGCTTAAGTGTGGAAAGTCTGGGATTTCACTTGGAGGATGAAAAACCGGGACAGGTGCTGCGCTGGCTACGATTCGGTGTAATAGAGATTCGAATTCTCCCCGGGGAATGAGAAAACAAAAAATGGGAGCCGCGGATCGGGCACCTTGATCCGTGTATTTACAAATTCAAAAGGGTTTCTATTTGTGACGAGCAAAGAATGGCCTCCGGATGCCCTTACGATCACGCTCTATTATTGAACAATACCATAAAGGAGGACAACTTTTTTTTCTGTGGCTATGTTCGCTCTTCCCCCATCTATGCTGCTACAGAGTATGCCGGGCTATGGCTTTTATCTTTGAGCATGAGGGCAAGGCTCTTGAATACGGTTGTTTTGAGTATGAGCCAGCAACGCCGGTTTTGAGGATGTATATCCCAGATCTGAAATGCCCTTTGGAGTTGCAACAATTACAGTATGCGTAGACCACTGGACTATGACCTTCCTCTTTACTCCAAAGTTTGGGGGTTATGGCCCTAATTCATGCCCATTGCCCGGTTATTGTAATCCTCCCGTGGTATCCGTATGATAATGATAATATGGTGATTGTAGTAGAGGACTATGTTACGTGATGTAGAGGTACAGGGACGTTTATGTATGTCTCTATGTAAAACAACGGTCATAGTACATCCCGAGTAGAGAAAGAGTTCTAGATCTTCGATTCACGCACCGACCCCACCTTCTCTGGGGCTTTGTTGCTGGCCTCCAGGGTTTCACGAATGAAACGAGTTGCCTCATCCATCATCTTTCCGGTCATATCATGCCCAGCCTCTTCATCAATGATATCTTCGAAGGTCACAGCACCATCGGCAAACCAGCCCTGCGAAGCGACAGCCTGCTTTAACCAAGCCAAAAACACCTCCCCGCGATGATAAGGGACCAACTTGTCCTTGCCGCCGGCCAGATTGAGAATCCTCTTTCCGGCTATGGAACGGGCAAGGAGCGGTCGCAACGCAGCCTTCTCGCTCTCCGTCGGCTCCGGCAATGGTCCACTGCGAAGAGGACCGACATCCGAGGCCGACTTCACGTGGCTCAAAAACAGACCGGCCGGATCGTACTTCTTCACAGCATCCAGTAGAGATGAAGGAAAAGCCTCAGAGCCAAGGAATTGAGAGCCTGGGGTGTCGGTGCTCGTCCACGATGGCAACTTCGATAATCTGGCCCGATCAGCCATCAGATTCACGTAGTCCGGGCAGCCGATGACGACGACCCCGGCGCTTATGCGAGGTTCATGCAGAAGGCAGCTCCATGCTGCATGGCCCCCCAGGGAAACACCCAACACCAGATTATCGACGAGCTTGCGATCGGAGCGGGGGAACACATAGGAGGGGAGGTAATCAATCAGAAGAGATACATCTCGGGCAGTGCCCTCTGTGGTTCCAGAAGGAAAGTGTTAGAGTCTACATTTTCCTCTGGTAGCAAGTGACTCAACTCACGAAAGATTGAGAACATATCCTGAGCATGTCGAGGGTTTCCCTGTCTCCATGCTTCATTGGCCAGCGGATCTACCTCTCTCGTTCCATGATTGCGTTGATCGAATGCGACAGCAATGAGGCCCTTGGTGGGGTTCTTGGAGTTCCAATCCGCGATGATGGTCGTCCCAATGCCTTTCATACGTTCTTGGGTACCTCCTCTGGGATGTAAGAGCCACAGACAGGCAATGTCGGAGGTTTGTGTGGGGAGTTCATCAAGACCGTAGACTGTGGTTTGGATCCCCGCAATTGGGTATGTCTTTCGCGAGACGGTTGAAGCATCGCCGTAGCGGCTTGCGTTGTCAAGTGTCTTTATGGGATCAGCCATACTTTGTTGCTTGTTTTGTGGGTTGTCTTGGGGTTTTCTTTTGCTGGGTGGCAATCACGCAGTGACGAGGAATTGGTTAGGGGGTGTTGGTTGATCGGCGATGGCAAGTAATTTGCCGATATATATCCCAACTACCTCGGAGGCACTTTACCGAGGGGTGTTGTGAAAGAAGCACTACTCCACTATTTCTAGAAGTGCCAGAGGAGCTCTCCCAGTGGAAATCAGGGCTTGACGGGGTATGCACTGCACAGTAACAGAGTCCCTGCCTGCAAACCCAGTATGCTCAGCTATTTAGTATCAGGTTATGATGCAAGTATGCGAACATCCAGCTGGTCTGTAATATACATCTGAACTGCCCCAGTTATGTTAAGAGGAAACGGATGAGGATTACTGTTAGGGAGAAGGGCCATCCTTGGGAACACGTAGTATCCGGATTATAATAGCGCAATCATAAGACAGTCGCATCTACTGTTCACATAATCGTTAGAACACTAGCATTGCAGCGTCCAGACCAGATACTCTTATAAGATTACAGCCAACCACCACACTTCTAGATAATAGTAGTCTTCATCGTCAAGCGGTGAGCAGAGCGGTGACCTGTTCGACGCCGAGGATCGGACTGTTGTAACTTACCTACCCACATGGGTTGGGTTTTGAAACGGTATGAAACCGGTAACCAGCCATCCTGTGGCTGGTGCTGGGCGATTGCTGCCTTAAGGCCCAAGTACCACGGTTGTGGCCCGGTTGTGCTTGGGTTCTCCCGCACGGAGTACCTTGCAAGTACCTCTCCCCGTAACCAAATATTTCGAAAGGAAGTGTGACGGCGACGTAATCCGCACCCTGATTTAGAACGAACTTACACATCGTATTGCGTATTTTGTAGGCCGCTGAACCTTAGCAGTCTCTTCTCTTCTTTCTTCAAGGAATATCCTCAAAAGCAAGAAGGAAGGAAAGAGTACCTTGACTTCTTCTCTTCCATCTTACTTCTTGGGAGGGGGGAGCTATTATTTATTCTACTGTATACTTGGGGTAGCACTTATTGCAACCGAGGCCGAAACTCAGCCAATCTACGGAGTACCTACTTACTGCAAGTAAGTAACTAACTGCTTACTGTACTAGTAGATGGTCATGCAGGTGCAAACCAGCCCCAATCTGATCTCTCATCAGGGATTCATTGATCGATTGAATGATTGATCCATCCCCCTTTCCTCCGTGTCCCAAGCCGACCAGAACCAGCAGAACTGCGCCAAAGCGGGCCTTCCGTCTCCAGTCAGACCTGCGCTTCTTCTATGGGGCGGACTCCACCGCGGCTAACCACTGTCGCTGCTAAACCCAACGCTCCTTTCAAGTTTCACGTCCAGACGTTTCGGCCGTGTTGTCGACTATCCCCTTAATATCTCTTTACTGCTTGATCTTGCCGATCGGTCTATTGTTCCGTCCTCTGGCTGCTGTGTAATAGATTTAGAATGTCCGTCTAATTGAAGATCCGAAACTCGTTCCAACAGGATCCTTTCGATCCGCATGTACGCTGCTCTTCCCCGCGCTCTTGCTTTCCCTCGAAATCCCCTCCCACCCCTGAAAGCCATCTTGCTTGCCCACTGACATTGCGCTCCTCTACGCAGTATGACCGACTCTACGGTCAATCCCTCGGAAGCGAGGGGCTCTGAGAACACCCCCAATCGGTATTACTCGAGACAAACCGAACCGATGTCATTGGACAGCTTGAAGCTGTCATCGCCGCTTCCCTCCCCTTCCTCGACAAAGGATGATGCAGACAGAGCGGATGGAGTTGATGGCGGAGATCAGGTGGACGCTTCGTCAACGGTCAGAGGTGTGGGAGATGCTCAATCCGACACAAAAGGAAAGACGCGCGCAGAGCATGCCGGCGATTCTGGAGAGGAGGAAACGTCGAATGCCAGTCCCACCAATAAAGCGGCCTCGCTGAGCCTTCGACAACCGAACGATGCAACGGCAAACCAGCAAAATTCCGGGAGCCGAAAGTCGCCAACTTCAGCCCTGGGATCATCTGCCTCGCCTCGCCGCCCAAGCGTACAATTTACTCAAGACACTCCGGATGTTGATGCTGCTGAGCCATCTCCGTCTAGGCCACCTTCGGTCAAAGGCGATGATGTGGATGCGGGCCTGAAGGGTAGACAATCCCTGCTGACAAAGTTGAAGTCTTTCGCAGCCTCGCCCTCGTTTACCTCTCATACTCGCTCGGCGAGCGGTGCGACGCTGAACGATTTCCGACCTACGAACAATGAACTAGCAACCCCTGGCTCAGAAAGAGGGGAATTTCGCTTTCCGAACACTTTGGAGGAGGAGGGGAGCGATATTGATGCCGACGCGGAAGAGAGTGCCGGGGAACAACGGGCCCGCCAGAAGAAACAGAAGAAGAAGCAGCCACGTCGTCGGCAGCAGGATGATTCGGTGCCCCCATCACAGCCAAATACCCCCAAATTCACCAGCCGGCCGTCCTTCCACTTACCGACCTCCTTTTCCCCCTTTGAAAACTATCGCCCCAACTTCTTTCCGCGACGGGGCAGTACCGGTGATTTCACACCTCAACAGCGTGAGGGTGTCTCAGAAGACGAAGGTCGTGATCGCCTAAATAGGGATACTGCATGGAGACGGAAAAGTGCTTGGCTTGCTAACGCGCGGGGCCTTACTTACAGCGGGCGCCAAATAGATGCGCCAGCAAATCAAGAGGAAAGAAGACCAAGCAACCTGAGACGGCTGACTGGGTTAGCTGGACCTTCTGAGAATGCAGAAGGAACGGCACCACCCTGGAGGCGTCATCGGGCTGACCGCGGTTCCAGCCTTAGTGCTCAAAGGTGGCGGCAGATAAAGGCAGGTCTCAAGTTGATCGGACAGCGACGCAAGGTGGATAACACAGTAGACCATGCCAAGTCGGCAGAGCTACTCGCTGAGTTGACCTCAGGAGTGCCGGCCGCCTTAATACTGGCCAGCATGTTCCAGCGAGATGAACACGGTAGCAAGCGAATTCCAATTCTTCTGGAGCAGCTCAAGGTGCGGGTCACGGACAGCAAGATTGATTCTCACTCCGGAGATCGCCATCTCGTCTTCCGTATTGAGTTGGAATATGGCAGTGGCATGACACGGATGAAATGGATCATCTACCGCACCTTGAGGGACTTTGCAAACCTGCACCTGAAGTATAAGTTGCATTTCGGGACTCAGAAGTACATCCAGCTGCGGAACACTGAAGGGGCCCAAAATCTCCCGCGCTTCCCTCGGAGTGCGTTCCCCTATCTTAGGGGCGTGCGTGGCTTGGAAAGCGACATGGAGGATGAGGAGGATGAAGGTGGATATGAAACAGCTGCGGAGGCTACTAGTGGCAATGAAAGAGCCGCCAAAAAGCAGCAGCAAGCGCATCGTCGTTCGTCGGGTGGCCTATCTCGGAGACAGTCTACCGTAACGAATCCAGAAGCGGAGGGTGCTGCTGGGCCTTCAGGCCTTCCTGAAGGAGGGCAGGCCAGTAAAAAGGAGAGCTATCCTGAAAGACAGCGGAAAAAGCTCGAGTCCTACCTGCAAAAGCTGATCCGATTCCTCATATTCAAGCCAGATAGCAACCGTCTCTGCAAATTTCTGGAATTGTCAGCCCTGGGTGTCCGTCTTGCGGCCGAAGGGAGCTATCACGGCAAGGAAGGCTTCCTGGTTATTCAGTCCTCCAAGGGTCTCGATTTTCGGCGCGCGCTGACGCCGGGCATGGTAAAGAAGCGACACTCTCCCAAATGGTTCCTTGTTAGGCACAGCTATGTCGTCTGCGTCGACTCCCCAGAGGAAATGAACATATATGATGTGTTTTTGGTGGATCCTTTCTTCAAGATTCAAACCCAAAAGGTCAGCTTGAGAAACCAAAAGGCGAAGGAGATTGCCAAATCGGCGACAGAGTCAGCCAGGCACCCACAGCATCACACATTAAGGCTCGAGAACTCGGAGCGCAAGCTTAGACTGCTGGCCAGGAATGAGCGTCAGCTCCATCAGTTCGAAGACTCCATCCGGTTCATGGTTAACAATACCCCCTGGGCAAGGCCGAACCGGTTTGACAGTTTTGCGCCGGTGCGACACAAGTGCTTCGCACAGTGGTTGGTGGATGCGCGTGATCACATGTGGGTTGTGTCGCGGGCGATCAACCAAGCGAAGGATGTCATCTACATCCATGACTGGTGGCTGAGCCCCGAGCTTTACATGCGTCGGCCTGCGGCCATCAGCCAGAAATGGCGTCTAGATCGCCTTCTCCAGCGAAAAGCTCGTGAAGGAGTCAAGATCTTTGTCATCATGTACCGCAACATCAACTCTGCCATCCCTATCGATTCGGAATACTCCAAGTTTTCCCTCTTGGATCTTCATCCAAACGTCTTCGTGCAGCGATCACCAAATCAATTCCGACAGAACACCTTCTTTTGGGCGCACCATGAAAAGCTCTGTATCATCGACCACACCTTGGCTTTTGTAGGAGGTATCGATCTTTGCTTTGGCCGTTGGGACACACCACAACATCTCCTCACCGACGACAAACCCACTGGGTTTGAGACCCCGGATGGACCGAAGGATGCGGATCATTGCCAGCTCTGGCCAGGCAAGGACTACTCGAATCCTCGTGTTCAGGATTTCTACGACCTCGACAAGCCCTACGAGGAGATGTACGATCGAAACGTAGTTCCCAGGATGCCCTGGCATGACATTTCCATGCACGTCGTCGGACAACCGGCTCGAGATCTTACGCGCCACTTTGTCCAACGGTGGAACTACATCTTGCGCCAGCGAAAGCCAACACGCCCCACGCCATTTTTGTTACCGCCGCCAGATTTCGAACCGGCTGATATGGAGGCCCTGGGGCTGGATGGTACCTGTGAGGTCCAAATTCTACGTTCGAGTAGTATGTGGTCGACTGGGACCCCCGACATCACAGAGCATAGCATTATGAATGCTTATGTGAAGCTGATCGAGGAGTCTGAACACTTTGTATACATCGAGAATCAGTTCTTTGTTAGCACCTGTGAAATTGATGGTCGGAAGATTGAGAATTCGATCGGCGATGCTCTTGTGGAACGAATCACCCGAGCAGCAAAGAACAAGGAGGCATGGCGTGCCGTGATTGTGATCCCACTGATGCCGGGCTTCCAGAACACCGTGGATAGTGAGGGTGGAACGAGTGTCCGGTTGATCATGATGTGTCAGTATCGCAGCATTTGTCGTGGGGAGACATCCATATTCGGCCGGCTGCGAGCGTTAGGGATCGAACCTGAGGACTACATCCAATTCTTCAGCCTTCGAACCTGGGGAAAGATCGGCCCTCAAGACCAATTGGTCACCGAGCAGCTTTATATCCATGCCAAGTGCATGGTTGTTGATGACCGAGCTGCCATAATTGGGTCTGCCAACATCAACGAACGCTCCATGTTGGGGTCTCGCGATTCGGAGGTGGCGGCGGTGGTGCGGGATACGGACATGATATGGTCTTCCATGAACGGCCGCCCTTACCTCGTGGGACGGTTCCCACACACCCTCCGTATGCGTCTCATGAGGGAGCATCTTGGTATTGACGTCGATGAGCTGATGGAGCACTCCATGGCAACCGAGGAAGAGCTCCGCCGGATCGAAATCGTTGAAGAAGGGTCGAAGCCTCCCGAAAGCCAGCTCGACTCGGAATCGTTGATGCTGGAGAAGAAAGACGAGAGAGATATGATGGAGCGTCGACACCGACTTCAGGACGAATTCCTCTCACGGTCTGAAGACATGCACAGCTTCAACCATGACGTTGACTGGGAGCAGGGAAATAACCCCAATCTTAAGTCGAACCGGAAACTCACTGCCGACCCGAGAGTGACCTCAAATGCCGAACACAGGAAGGACGTGGACGGCTTTGGTGCCGACAACCTCACCAAAGCCGTGGGGGCTGGCTTGGGCGATGCCCGTGACTCTGAGTTCCTGGGCCCGAGGACAGAGGTCCTGATTTCTCCTGTTGCATCCGAGGGCAAGGGCACTATCCAGCAGCCGAAACAACCCTCACAACGGAATACCCACCGAGCAAACGCGGGTGGTGATAGAGAAGGCAATCATAGTCTCAGTCCCGTCGTGGAGCATGGTAACGAGGGGGCGCAGGTCGTGGAGGGATTGTCCGCTGTTCGCCATCCAGCACTGCCGGTGGAGCACGAGTCTGAGAGTAGCCACAGCGGGGTCCAGGCGGCTTCGCGGGATAAACATGACCCTATCAAGTCCTCTCACTTGTTCTCTTCTGACGTAAAGCACGTCTTTATCGACAAGGATTGTATGCGTGACCCTGTGATCGACTGCTTCTACCTGGATACTTGGCAAGCTGTAGCGGATAAGAACACCAAGATTTACCGGAATGTGTTCCGCTGCATGCCGGACAGCGAAGTGAAGTCTTGGAAAGAATATAAAGAGTATGCTGCCTATGCAGACCACTTCGCAGAGATGCAGAGTCAACACAGTACCAAAGCATACCAACCTACCAGCCAAAGACAAACCGGACCGCCTGGAACGGGGGCCAGCATGGCTGGGGCAGCTTCCGGACTCAAGCATACTCTGACAGTCCATGCTCAGAGTGCCGAGGGAGCTAAAGTGGAGGCCAAAGATTCACCTGTCGAAAAGAACAATGCTCATTCGACAGAAGCCGGTCCAAAGCCGGACACGCAACATGCCGAACACGGAACTTCTGACGGGCCTTTGCCAATAAATGAGAAATCGACGATGAAAGGAGCAGATGGGACGGCGACGGGGCACATGCCAAATGGACGACATGAGGAAAGTGGCTCTTCTGGTGAAGATCTGGAAAAGCAGCGATCTGAACCGCCGCTCGTGGATTATTCCGAGGCTTTGAATCGGAATGCCACCGGTCAGTCTCGACGACGCCGACGAAGGGCGACGACGCTCGGATCAAAGCGGGAGTTTCACGCGACAGATGAAGTGATGGACAAACAGCGAGCTGAAGAGCTTTTGAATCACGTACAGGGACATTTGATTCTGTGGCCCTACGACTGGTAAGGGTTTCGCTGTGCTTGCATCTTTGATATCCCGCTGCAGCCTACTGACTTTTCCACTCACATAGGCTCGAAAAGGAAGAACAGGGCGGAAATTGGCTTTACACGCTGGATCAGATCTCTCCGCTGGAAATCTAGTAAGTCCAAGCCCGGAATGGGACACAAACGCATCAAATGCTAACCACGGAGCAGCAACTGAATCGATGTCGACGTGTGTCCATTCAATGTACTACTTAGTACTATATTGTTTCACACTTGGCTGATCTACCTTTTCCATCTTGGACCGACGCCTCTTCTTCTACGATTTTCACAGCTACTTCTTCCCCAACCCCTACACCATCATTTGAGGTCATCCCGTGTAATGTTTGCGTGGCTGGTGGTTTTCAGCTCACTGCATATCAAGCGGGCGTTTTCTACATTCAGGCGTTCAATTCTCTCCATGTCATCATGTCACTGATACCTTACCACGCATCCTGGTGTCCTTGCACGTATGTCGGCAGCACCGGGCACTGTCTCATAGATTTGGATGTTAATTAATATGTTTGAGGAAAGAGTGTATATACATAGAGGTGTTTCCCATACAAGGGGCTATAGTACATGCTTGATTGCGATCGAAAAAGTAGAGGTAGCTCATTAGTGAACACAGGGTTTGATTCCGCGATACTTCACGTGGAATCGACCGTCCCGGCAGTAAGCTGATCGCGCATTTGACTGAATTCGTCGAAGTTCACTTGCAGGATCGATTTCAGCAGACCGTGATCGAGAGTTACAGGCGCGCACTGGTCCCAGTGATCGAGAGCCGTACGAAGACGCTCATGAGCGCGCGCAAACGCCGCCCGCAGTTGTGGAGTATCAAGACAAGACCGGCCCAGGTCATCCAAATAATTAGTAGGATTCTGCAGACATAGCCGTGTAGCCGCGGCTGTGTTGCCCATGGACGCGGCGGTTTTCTTCATATTGATGATGGCTCGCTGACCGCGCAAATGGGCGGGGATCTCGTCCGGCTGACTGGAGAACATCCGGCTGGCGGAGCGGACAGTATCCGCATCAAAGGTACCCGGAGGATCGACGGCTATTCCGGTCGTCGTGAGATCGACTTCGGTGCCATACATTTGGAGAAAGGCGAGAAGGCGCTCGCCTAAACCGTCAGAGCGTTGGAACTTGCCGTGATTCAGCTTTAGGAATGCTACGATGAGCATGACTAGGGCTTCGGGTTTAAGGGATCTCGGGCCATGGCCACATAGGCCTTGGGATTCGAGGAGAAGTCGCAGAGCCATGTAGAGAGGTCGAACGGAGGGGTATTCGGCACGGTAGTCTTGAATGTACTCGACCATGGGGGGAATGTCTTCTCCGCAGGAGAAGCGTATGCGGAGACCCGTCTCGTGATGAACGGCGGTGGATGGGTAGACGATGTTGAAGGATCGGAAGTCCTGAAGGACCTGTTCAACATCTCGGAGCAGACGCTTGTGCTGGGTGAGGATCTGCGGACGCGTGGCGCTTGGTTTTCGAACCTGTTCGGTAGATCGTATTGAGTCTGGGACGGGGAGGAGAAGGTCCAGATGGGAGTGGCTCATGGCTAGCCCGGTTCGCCATGATCCAATGATACAGGGGGCACGGGGCGCAATCCCTTCCAAAAGACCAGCAATATGCGCAGTTATCCGATGAACCCTCTCCTCCTCCGGTGGGGTCGGACTGAGGTAATTTTCAAGTGCCTTAATCTCCGCATCTAGCTGGGAGAGGCCGTCACTGAAGGACCTCGTTGAATCCAATCCATCCAGCCATGGACATTGAACCGGCCGGCCCCGTTGGGAGTCAGCATCCCAGTGTATCAGCTGAGGTGTGTATGAAGGCCGGGACGGCGGGTGGGACTTCTGAATGGAGCGAGGTTTCCTCCTTGGGCTCTTTGGGATCGAGGAAGACCTCAAAGTTACATCTGTGTTGGAACCGTTTGATGGCTTATCGTTTGTTGCAACCCCCGCAGGTGACTGTTCAAAATCATCTGGTTTATTCGGTATCTTGCGAATTAAACTAGCTCGATTCGAGGAACGGTGTGCTTCGAGGGTTTTTTGTAGACTATTTTTGAAAATTGCCGGGTTCTTGAGAGTCGAGCGGGTTTGGTGGAAGTATCGCGGCTTCAGCGGAGAGGATATAGGGGGGGCCAAATAAGCAGCAACCGACGAGGAAGAGGAGGAGAGGAGATATCGATTAGAGGAGCAAAGAACGCGCATGACCGCGCGTTCAGCAGGGCAATGGAGGCATTGCGAGGAAAGTGTTGCAACCGGGGGCATAAACCGGAGGAAAGGAAAGTATACGGGGGGGTGTATACTTGGGACTGGATGGCGCAGAGTTCCGGACAACCCGAGTCGATAGGAATGAATGGAGGTTAAGGAGGGCGGGTGATCTCGGACGGGATGCTGGAATGTTTCGAAGAGGACGAAAGAAGCGAGGCTAGAAGTCGAGGCAGGGAATGAATGATGATAATGTCGCAAGTATCGGATAGACTAACAGGAACTAGTGATGAGTTACCCGATTAAGGTTAGTACTGTCAGGTGCCGTAATTTCCACGTGACTGCGGGCCGTGATCTGGCCAGCCCTAGCATTGATCGACTGGTTATGGTTAGTTAGGTCTTCACATGTCACACTCCCCCCTGTCGGGGAAATGGCGATCTCAAATCTGCAAATCGGATCTCACCGAGTCACTGTAGACTTCAACCATTCTTTGCCCTCTTCTTCTTCTTGTTTCCCGAACTTAGCTTCTATTATTACCTATAATCTCTCACATATAACCCCAGTTTTCCCAGTGGATTCAACGGGCGTAATGACAGGCAAATCACATCCCATGACCTGGACCAATCTCGATGGGGGCAAGTTTCATCCGGCATCTTCTCCCACATGCCTGAACACTCTTGCGCGCTTTGCTCTTGGTTTCGGCCGATGCAAGACACGCTACCTAATGAGTTAGACACTTCTGTAGAAGGACTAGATGATTTAGGTTCGGTTAGGCACTGTTGCTATTCCCTGGGCCCAACTTCCCGGGTTATTGTCTAGTCTGCCAACTGACTACTGTACCTGTTCGTGTTAACCTGACCTGCCTTAATCTACAATCACCCGGAAAAAAATAATGAGATATTATGTGCTGTGCTCTGTAAGAGTAGTAGTAATTTTTCTAGTGGTACAACATAGTAGAACTTAGTTGGAGTAGATTGGGGAGGGGGGCCGAATAACAGGTGGACCTTTTTCCTCCTGTTCGTCCGAACTGCCGTTTGGGGGATCATGACGTATCTGGGAAAAAAGAAATATCTGGGTTACTACTACTGTTATGGAGATGGCGGGGACCCAATCCATTGCTTGCTATTATTTCCACCAAAAACATCATCATCATAATCATCATCATGGTCCATTATTAGTATATTTTTTACTCTTACTATTACTTACTATTACTTCCCTCCATGGCAGACCAAACCCACCACGGACACGGAACCGGTTTCCCTGACCTTGTTCGGTTTCAATAATCATCAACTTCTTCTTCTTCCTTTTCTACCCCCCCCCCCCCTTATAATCCCCACCCGCTATACGACTTCTTTTTCCTTCCATCAGCCCTCGCCGCCGAGTCTGGACCATCCTAGGCCCATCCCTCCCCTCGATCCCTTCGCTGCCTCTCTTCCCCCTTCGGCGTCCTTCTATCTGAACCCGTGCATGAGGGATTGGCTGTTTTATAAGCAAACCCTGCCGACAGACCGCCGACCAGCTGATACGACTGCTTTGGTAGTTGGCTTGCTTTGCCTGCATTAAGTTGCTTGATTGTCCGATTGGGGGTGATTGGCTTGCTATTCCGGGATTGTTTGGGGGGAAGTTGGGATCAAGTTCCAGCAAGTCTGTTGGAAAGAAAGCTACTAGAACTTCGGGGGTTTTCTGACTTCTGAGATATTTTCCTTGCCGACATCCCCGAGTTCCCCCTAAATCAGTCGGACTATACATATCCAGTGATAGATCACTTGCGCTTTTCACCAATTTTTTACGATTAACTATCATAGTTATCGTTTCTTCTTGGAGGTGAGTACAATAGTTCTTTCTTATCATAGTATCTTTCCATGTTCCCGCTTCACCGCCTCCCTGCTTGGTGGTGGTAAATGGTGGCTGCTGCTGTTGCTGCTGCTCTCTGCCCTGCTTTCTGTGTGTGTCTCTCTCTCTCCGTCTCTTCTCCCTCCCCCTCCCCCCCACTTGCGTCTTGTCTCTTGCTCTCACATCATAATTGAATCTCTTACCCACTAAACCAACTTCTCCCTCCTTCCCTTCCCTCTTCTCATCGTCACATTCTTGTTAACCCCCATTCTTTCTCTTTTCTGACGGAGGGAATTGATCATTGTGCCATCGTTCATCTTTCCTTTCAGTACCATTTACTAGTTCCTTTACTCCCCTCTTCTGGCCCGCTCTCTTCCCTGTTGGCAACCCCACCAAAAACCCTCTTTCTCTCTCTCCATACATACCAATTCATTCCCAGGTACTCCAGCTTATCTCCCTCCCCCTCCCTCCCTAATCTACACTTCCCTTTTCACCCCCAAACTAAAAAAAGAAGGGTACTTTCAACGCTCTTTGCCCTTTCCCTCTTACACCCCTTCCCCCAAAACCCAACACAGTCTTCCCCATCATTGCCATCTTTATTCTTCTTCTTATCACCGGAATTCCAAAATTCACCAGATTCCTTCCCCTAATATTTCATGGTATGCAACTAACTGATTGCGCTACCTCCCAGATTGACTGCAGATTGGTTTCCGTTCTGCCTGTCATTGACTGACTGACTGTGATTCCTCGCTCCGCCGCGTCCGTTTTCGTCATGGCCGCCGAACAACGGTCTGCCGCCATGCCCGATGGCCAGCCCAATCCGGGCCCCATTGGCTCTGGCCTGAGTGTTCTGGGCGAAAATGCGTTTGTGAATGCCTCAAATGCCACCCCGGATCTGCGGGGTGAACAGACCCAGCCCTCCACCCTCCCCGATGCCCCTTCCTACTTTTCTGATACCCCGGGGAACCACGCTTCTTCGGTCCCTCCAGCTGTCGCTTCCCCCATCACTCCCTCCCAGGCTGTCAAGGACGCCAAATCAGGTCCTGAATTGTTGCGCCGCCTGAGCCTGATAGAATCTCCCATCATGCTGGACGCCGACCCCCGCGAACAATACCCCAGCCTGCGTCTTACCGGCAGAGTGATCAGTGCTGCATTCTGTATCCCCTATAAGCTCTATCTCCATCCCGGGTCCGACTGGGTAAGTCAATTCCCCCACCAGATCGCTCGTACTTTGAGAGGGGGGGATCAGTAAGAGGACTTGGCTGATCGAACGGGATTGTAGGAGCTGAAACCCCGTCCGGGGACCTCCGCTTTATTTGATTCAATGGCCTATCTTGGTTCTAATGAATCGAGATGGTCCCACACCCTCGTTGGCTGGACCGGCGAGGTCGAGCCGGTCCAGGAGACAGCGATCCCTTTGCAACAGATTCCCATCAACACAAGTGCCAAAGTGCCGACCACCCTCAACGGTTCGGCCTTGCCCCTCAATAAAGCTGCCGCACCGGTGCCTGTGGATGCCAGCCAACGCCTACCCAGTCATCCTCTCCTTGACGGCTTCGAAGTGGACCTGGAGGACCGAGAAAGGCTCGATAAGCAGCTGAGCTCCAGCCGCTACGGTAAGATCGTGCCGGTCTGGTTGACTGGTGAATCGGAACATCCAGATGACACGGTCTTCTTGGACGACCAGGGTCGGTGGAGGCGTTATGCCGAGCGCGAGCTCTACCCACTCCTTCATTACAAACAGCACGGTCCCACGGACGGCAAATCGGAACGTAAGTGGTGGGCAGACTACGTCCGCATGAATCGTCTCTTCGCCGACCGCATTGCGCAAGAATACAAGGAAGGAGATATTGTCTGGATCCATGACTACCACCTATTCCTGGTCCCGAGTATGCTGCGCCAACGCATCCCCAACATTTACATTGGTTTCTTCCTGCATGCGCCATTTCCCAGCAGTGAGTTCATGCGCTGCTTGGCCAAGCGCAAGGAGGTGCTTACGGGGGTCCTGGGGGCCAACATGATCGGCTTCCAGACGTTCTCATACTCCCGTCACTTCTCATCTTGCTGTACACGTGTCCTTGGCTTTGATTCCAACTCGGCCGGGGTGGACGCCTACGGTGCTCATGTAGCAGTAGATGTCTTCCCGATAGGTATCGATACCAAGACGATTCAAAAGGCGGCCTTCGGGTCTGCCGAGATAGAAAAGGCAGTCTTGGGTATTCGCAAGCTTTATGCCGGAAAGAAGATTATTGTCGGCCGTGATCGACTGGACAGTGTCCGCGGTGTGGCCCAGAAGCTGCAGTCGTTCGAGGTCTTCCTCGAGCGGTACCCTGAATGGCGGGATAAGGTGGTCCTGATCCAGGTAACCAGCCCAACCAGCGTCGACGAGCAGAAAGAAGAGAACAAGATTGCCAGTCAGGTCTCTAATCTGGTTTCTACCATCAATGGCCGGTTCGGATCATTGAGCTTTGCCCCCGTCAAGTACTACCCGCAGTACCTCTCCCCTCATGAGTACTTCGCGCTGCTGCGTGTCGCTGATGTCGGACTCATCACCACGGTCCGCGACGGCATGAACACGACTAGCTTGGAGTATATCATCTGCCAACAGAATAACTATGGCCCCTTGATCCTCTCCGAGTTCTCTGGTACGGCGGGGACTTTGTCCAATGCCATTCATATCAACCCATGGGATACCGTCGGCGTGGCGGGAGCCATCAACAAAGCCCTAACCATGTCTCCGGAAGAGAAGATGTCACAGCATCAGAAGCTTTATAAGCACGTCACTGCAAACACAGTCTCGTCCTGGTCAAAACAGTTTGTCACTCGTCTCCTCACCAACCTCTCGTCATTTGACCAATCCGTGGCAACGCCGGCCCTCGATCGGGCCAAGCTGGTGCGGCAGTACCGTCGGGCTCGGAAGAGACTATTCATGTTTGACTACGATGGTACACTTACTCCGATTGTCAAAGACCCGCAAGCTGCGATTCCCTCGGATCGGGTGCTGCGTACTATCAAGACCCTCGCCGCAGACCCACGAAATGCGGTCTGGATCATCAGTGGACGTGATCAAGCCTTCTTGGATGAGTGGATGGGCCACATCCCCGAGCTAGGACTAAGTGCAGAGCACGGATGCTTCATTCGCAAGCCCCACTCGGACGACTGGGAGAATCTGGCCGAACGGAGTAACATGGGCTGGCAGAAGGAGGTCATGGATACGTTCCAGCACTTCACAGAACGGACACAGGGCTCTTTCATCGAAAGAAAGCGCGTGGCCCTGACATGGCATTATCGCCGGGCAGATCCGGAGTATGGAGCGTTCCAGGCTCGCGAATGCCGGAAGCAGCTTGAAGACACCGTCGGGAAGAGATGGGAAGTTGAAGTCATGGCCGGGAAAGCCAATCTGGAAGTTCGGCCGACGTTCGTTAACAAGGGGTTCATCGCGACTCGCCTCGTCAATGAGTACGGCACCGGCCCTGGGCAAGCTCCTGAGTTCATCTTTTGCTCCGGCGACGACTTCACAGATGAAGGTAAGGCTCCTTTCCTTTTCATTCTCAGCTCTTTCATTCTCAACTCTTTCCCCCCTTATGTGCTCTCCCGTTATTCCATCTTATTCTACATTCGCTAACAATCCTCTGTCATTCACAGACATGTTCCGTGCCCTACAGAAATTCGACCTGCCACAAGACCACGTCTACTCGGTCACTGTTGGTGCAAGCTCAAAGCAAACGGCCGCCAGCTGGCATCTCCTGGAACCCGCCGACGTGATTGAAACCATTTCGATGCTCAACAATAGTTCGTGCTCCCAAGAGTATTGAGGGTCTGTTAATACTGCACTGGTGGACTTTCTCGAAGCGGGGACAGGGTCTCCGCGTACCCGCCTTTGATTTCCATTGAACATCTGCGATTATTGATATATATTTTTGCCATTCTTTTTCCAGGCGTAGAGGTGATGCTGTGGTGGCGGCGATTTGTTAGAGGGCGTCACGAAGCGGGTATGCATTCGGCATTTGGATTCTGGGGGTCCGTTCAGCCATTAGCGAGAGTCCAGCATGGGGTTTCTCCTACTTTTTTTTTTTTTTTTTTTTTTTTTCTTTCTCTTTGTCTTTTCCCTTGTCTTCTTTTCAACAGCCCCTGCCTACCTTCCAACCGTTGATCTTGAACATTAAAAAAATCGAGCATGACTGCTTGACGCTCGAGACAGACAGCATGGATACCTGTTTATGGTGCTTTTAATTGACTATATATAGATGGGCCGGCCTCGAGAGGCAGATGCCTATAATTGTTATGATGCGTTAGAACAATATAGAGCCCCGATGAAGGGCACGATTCAACAAATTCGTCTCCTGCTCACGACTCGTAATATGGCCAGTACTTAGTCAGTAGACGTCTTGTGAGTTGCCGCTGAGAACAAGATAGGTCGTTGGTGCCGCGCGACAGGACTACGACTACTACTAGTACTACCACCACCAGGAGAGTGATGTATCAACAACCCATCAATGAAATGTAGTGCAGGACAAGGGGGCTTCTTTCTGATAGTTCGTACTTCATTGACGTTATTCGAGTTAAAGAAAAAAAAATAAATGAAAGCCGGGCAGATGTCCGCCGCATGGGCCTTCTAGTATTATTCGGAGAATATGCTTAACATACATAATACATAAAGAAAGGAAAGTATGGAAGAGTAACTAAAAGCCGGACTGTATTGGCAATATATCTTCTTTCTTCTTTCTCTTCCCCCACCCCTCTTTTTTTCTTCTCCGTCCTTTGGCATTTCTTCCTGAATTGTTCCTCTGTCCAGGGATGACCCATCACATCGGCAATGGTATTATTCCCCCTCCCCCAACCAGCTAGTAAAATAGCTCAATGGTGGGGAGGGGATCCACCTGCCAGTTTCCCCAATCCCAAGCAAGAATCCTGGAGCCCCCGGGTTTTGGGACCGTGGTGCACCATGACAATAGGGCGTCGAAGTAACCAAGGCCTAACTATCGCTAATGTATTCCGGGTGTCGCTTCCTGTTGGATCCCAAACTGATCATCCTCGTTCTTTAGCCGATTCGGCACAACATTGCCGACCTTCCTCCCCGCCATCATGGCGGTTGACTTTCGGCCTTCTTTGCGAGCCGTTCATGCCCTAGCTCCTAAATTTCTAGTCTAACTTCGCTTCCTGACTCACGCAGCGTAGTCGTCGTTCCTTTATCCATCTCATTTCTTACAGGGCTGATCCTCGAAAAGGTCCTTGACAGGAAGACGCTTCCAACGCTGCTATAACCAATTGCCGCCG